TCCCTGCGAGCGGTGAGGCAGTGCTGCCGGAGGCCAAGGCTGCTGCCCTGTCCAGCCCGCGCAAGCCAGGCGAGGAGCTGGCGGCTGTACCAAGGAAAGAGCTTAACCATGTTGAAAGCGGTGGAGTTCCCGGGGAACCTCTGGAGATGGAGCAGCTGCTCCCGAAGCAGGGTGCCGCCGACTCCAGGGAGCATCCAGCTGACACGTGTGGCAGCCAGGCAGGCGAGCCGGGAGCCCAGGTGGGACAGGCGAGCGACGGGTGGTGCGTGATGACCTTGGCAGGAGGCCCTGATGATGGCTGTAAGGACAGGAGTGAGGAGCAGCCGGGTCAGCCAGCTGAGAGTAGGGACTTGGACCATGAAGAGTGGGAAGTTGTTTCTGAGCACGTAGCCTGGGGGGAGGCTGACAAGAATGGTAGCGTGGAAGACTCCGACAGCAAGGAATGGGAACAAGGAGACTGCCCTGATGGGGACTTGAAAGCAAAGAGAGTTGCGGCTGTGCCCCCCATGTTTCAAAATATCCACGTGACTTTCCGCGTGCACTACATCACACACTCTGACGCTCAGCTGATTGGTGTTACTGGTGACCACGAGTGTCTTGGCCAGTGGCACAGCTACGTTCCCCTCAAGTACGACAAGGATGGCTTCTGGTCTGAATCCATCAGTCTGCCAGCAGACACCAAAGTGGAGTGGAAATTTATCTTGGTGGAGAATGGGAAGGTCAGACGTTGGGAAGAATGCGGTAACAGGACCCTAGTGACTGAACATGAAGATCAAATTGTTCATCAGTGGTGGGGATACCATTAACGGGATTTTGGAAGCTGCTTATCTAACAGCAAGCCTGCTTAGAATAATCACAGAGCCCCTAAACTTTGCCCCCTCTTCAGTAGGAGACCTTCTCGAGTGCAGAGCTCTCTAAATCCTGTATCAAACCTGGTTAAACTGCGTGAGCAGCGGATATCTGCCATCCCCTTCAGGAAATCATTTGGCAACCTGAAAAATCAACTTCAAATGCGCTCTGAAGATGTGCAAGGTAGGCTACGAAGGCACGAGCAGCATTCCAGGCAGCTGCCTGTCCAGGTGAATCTGGACCCTGGACTTGAGTTTGTGTTGCTTTGAGAGGGGCTATGGGATGCACCTCTGTACCGACTGCGTAGGGCTTCTGAAGCATACTAGAAGTGTGGTTACCTACACTGTAGTAGGAACTTCAGTGTTTTAACTTATGTAATGTATTAAGTAAACAATAAACACTTTCAGACTGACAGTTTGTTACAACTTGACCGGTGAACTGATTCATTTTAATAACTCTGATAGAAGTGAGTTACTTGACCTGAAATCTTGGTGCTAAAGAATTCCTGAGAAGTGGCTGGCACTCTTTGGAGCAACAAAGGTTTAAACCCGAAGTGCTTCATTCTCTACTCCCTGCTCTCCAGGAAGCACGTCAGCTCCAATGAGGGCTTGGCAGATGGGTCCCTTTTAGTCAGATCATCCTGCTGAGGGGAGAGCAAAGGTCAGAAAGGACGGTCGGGGCTTAATGAATTACTTTGTCAGGGTGGGAGCAGAAAGAAAACCACGCCTGAACTGCTGTGATGGCTAGGGAATAGGGCTCTTTCTGAAATAGTCAGGTGGTGTATTCTGCCTACCTAGGAACACCACCACAATATTGTTAGCAACTACTTAGCTTAAGCTCATGTGGTTTTTTTCCAAGACTAGTCTTTTCAACACACATTTATTTGAAGTTGTGGCCTTTTAGTATGCCAGATGAAGCGGAGCACTTCTAGCTTCAACCAGTCAATGCTTTCCATATGACAGAAGCAGAAAGCCGCTGCGCTTGCCTGCTTTTTGTAATTTTGGTTACAAATACACGATGCCGCTTCAGCAAGCTCTTCTCTCCTTAATGAGGAACCCAGCTCGAGCTTGCAAATATCACTTCCCTAGAGTGAACTTAGTCTGAAGAGCAGAGTTGTGTAGGAGTTTGGGAAGCGCATAAATTAGCGCTTTGGTCTGGAGCATTTACTTCAAAAGCACACTGCTGATCTAATTGCCTTTGCTAATTCTTTCCTGCTTTGCATGCTGGAGCAGTCTGAATATGTGAAATGGAATGGGTTTTGGTGACAGACCGGAAGGCGAGCTTCAGAGGCTTTACCTCCTGCATCTGATGCTTAATGGTCATCCAGCTGGTGGGACAATACTAGAGGCGCTGTGAAGAACAAGTGTCTGAAATGTTATTACTAGGACTTCAGTACCAGCTGTGTCATGAAACAAATCCACTGAGAATAAGCTGGGCTGCGGGCTCCTGCAGACAGAGCCACAAAATAGCTAAAGAAAACCTGGGGGGGGGCCATTGAGGGGAGGGTGAAGAGGGAGACAGACCAAGGCAAATGAACAACTGTATTGGCAAGTTGGAGTTTTTGTGTTCTCATGTAAAACAAGTCCCTCCCAGCTGTTGCTACATGGCAGAGCAACTTGTTCTGTGGGTCAGTTACTTCTGCAGATACTGGTTTTACTTGCCAGTTGTCTCCAGCAACCTAAAGATTCAGGTGAATAAATTTAATTTCCTTCAAGAGACCTTTTATAGAAGAGAACAAGGTAGGAAATGCGGGTGGGAGCTAAACTCAAGACTGACTGTAAGTTTTTTGTTAACCGCTTGTCCAGGATGAACAGTAACTTCTGCATGAGAAGTACTGCAGGTCTGGAAGGAATGGGGTAGCACTTCTGGCAGCTGACGCAGAAGGGAGAGGACGGAGCTGACAATTGACCAAGAGGTTGATGCTGCTTCCATGGTCTTAAACACGTGCGCCATGTGCACACGCTAGTCCTCAGCTCTCAATAGGAAACTAATATGGGACTTGGAGTTCACATAGTAAGTAACTTAAAGGAAAACAGGACACAGTTAGCATGCTCTGGGTGGAAAAATCAATACTAACATGTGGCTCAGTTAATTTTAGGAGCTACTGCTTCACTGTAACACATTTCTACTGTTTAATTATGACTGTGCTTACTGCTTATAAACAGAAAGCTCTGAAGTTCTGTCCACGTGCACCACCACTGAGTACACAACACACTTGCGAGGGTTTCAGTCAGTAACTTGCAGCTTTGACTGAACAGGTAAAATTGTGCTGGAACTAGTGGCTTGGTACCTTAATTGCATTTTTTTTTTTTTTGCACTTAGCTTTTCTAACAAATTTAAGTGGATGATATACCTAATATATAGAAGTACAGTTGAAATAGAAGTTGATCTTCAGAAATGACTGAAGTCAAAGCAAAACATATTATTTCAAGCTGTTTAAAATTCTTTTTCCCATTAATGCAAGCTGCTCAAATAGTGAGATATTGTCAAGTTAAACAGCACTTGGCCAACAGCCACTGCCATTTGAGTATATTTATACATGCATTGGAGGCTTGTCTGAGGAGATTAACTGTGGTATTAGATTAAGATATTCATTAGAAAGCCACTTAACCTACACTAGAATAGATTCTCTAATGCAATGATGAACATGTTTCAAACAGACTAACCCTGGTAAGTCTCTCAAATTGAGAACAATTTTTTTTAATTAAACACCCTCCACTGTAATACCATAGACAACACATTTAGTCCTCATAATTTCATCATCTACCTGAATGATCAAGCAAGGTTTCTACAAAGACCTGCACTGCACTTTTGCTGTAACCTCTGAATTACTATGCTGTTCACATCACTGCTTGCCCAGCAGGGCTTATGCTATGTAAATTAAATGTTATTTGTATGGTGAAAGAACGAACTCTCGATTTCAGTATTATTGGAGAAGCTGATCAGTATTTTCTCCAAGTTCACAGAGGTGATTTCTCATTATTGAACCATCTATTCACTCAAGTGTGAGGGTAGATTTAAAGAAAGTTGCCTTACTTCATGAAAATGACTATGCTAGAACGGGCCAATATCTGTCTAATACAATGTCCCGGCCTAGCAAAGATACATGTGAGAAACAAGTTCTTGTTGACATTCCTCTGCGGAGGGAACAGCCTAGCAGCCAGTGGCTCAGGGTATCTAAAAGCAAATAATAAACTGTGTCCCTGAGAGCTGGGCAAAGCCAGACAGACTGCAATAGAAGACCTACCTTTTGAGTTCACCTGCTCCTGCTGCTGACAACAAACATGACAAATTAGACCATGTGATTACTTTTAGGTGAAATGCAATCTGCTCCTATTTGTGAAGTAGTTTGGTGTGCAAATGCTGAATGCTGCACCTGGATGGTAAGCTGAGCAGACAGCCTGAGGCTGGAATGGGCACTGGGCATAAACCAGTTTCAAGTCACATACAGAAACCTGCGTTGCAACTTGTTTCCTTTCTATTCCCTTCAAACGTGCCTTTGCAAAAACCATGTCCATCCCGCATTCTCTCCGGGAGTTAAACTTACTGTTTGGAGGCTCTCCACACGATCCACTCAAAAATACTAGACTGGTATTGGGTTTTCTCTCTAGGGGGTTGGCTGCCATCTGTGGTGTCCTGCTGCGGTCAAGATTTGCCTAACAGTCCTCCAGTCATCCACCTGTAGGACAGGGAATAACAAGGTGCTATTTGTGCTGCAACGTCCAGGGCGTACATAGCTGCTCCAGGGCCCACGAGCCTACGACCCTTTCGCCTCCCCAGGCCAATTCGCTGCCTTCTGCCAGTGGCAGGGAGGAAGCCCAGACCTGTTCCCAACCCTGCTGGATTCCAGCACGAGGATGTTAAGCTGCCTTTTTGCTTGGCAGATCTCCCTTCTCTCCGGCTATTTGTACCGCTCCACCTGCTCCCTTCCGTTCTCACAGGGCTGCAGGCTTTGGAAACTCTTTTTAGCGTGGCTCCTTGAATGCAACTGAGAGTGCGCTTTTCGTTGACCTTTTCCAACCTGCTGGGCTATGGGGTGAATACGTGCTCTCATTCTCCATGCCCCGCTCTATTCTTATGAAAACTCTGGTAGATCTGTTAAACAATGCGTAACAAGTCCAAGCTGTGATACACAAGCCACCTAAAATGAACCTTTCCTTTTCAATGCAACAGATTCCTAGGAAATGGGAGGTACCTTTATTAACTTTGACTAAGCTTGCAACACACTTGCAAAGCACGACAGTGGAATCAGTGGGAAAAAATTACTAGGGAATACTGAAAGTTACTTGAATTAAATCAAAGTACTGTTGACAATAACTGAGGACAGTTTAGGAACAACTCACTGATCTCTTCTTCCCACACAAAAATACCTCAAACTAAAAAAAACCTCAGCGATTTGATCTACTCTGAATATAGTTCTGTAGCTCTAAAGTCAACAGAACCAAGCTTGTATCTGCATGGCTTGTGCTCCTGAAGCTACTTCTGCTGAGCCGTAGCTACAAATCATTTCATTTGCACAAAGTCACCAGGTACACCCCCTGAATTCAGGCTGCCTCAAATCCAAGGCCACAATTGCTTTTCAGAAAGCAGATAATGATGAAAAACACTAATGCCACTGAAGCTGCCCGACTGGCACCTCCTGCTGACCCTGGGGATGGTCTGCTTTTCTGTGCTTGGGTACAGAGGGACATCTTCTGTGCAGAGGAACATCTTGCCCCTTGTTTCGTTAGTACTGTTTATAGCAAGGACTCACCTGCTACCAGGCTAGCAGCTTCTGTGACCAACTTCTCAGCCTTGCTAGACTCTGAAGTGGCAGCACTACTAAACTGCTCTTCATGAACAGTCCCCAGGCAAAAATCAAATGGCAAATTCTGGAAAAGTTCTCAATTTGGGATGAGTACAAAGTTCTTCCTCCCCTGTATTTCTTTCAACAACTATCTTATTCCCTGAGATACTGTCGAACACTAATGAGGCTTTAAACATCAATCTGATACTTTAGTGATCCTGTTCATCTTATTACTTTGGAACTGTTTTTAGCATTGGATAGTCTTTCAACTCTTTTAAGTGCAGTAAGTCATTTGCCCACTGCTGCAAAATCCTCAAATGTCTAAAGACACTGGAGGTTTTAAAATACATTCACGTATGCCAGGTGCGCTCAACATGCCTTCCTGTTTATTACTAAATCTTACACTAGCTATGGCCTTTGAAAACATCATTCTTAGGCTCTCACATTAAGGGAAGTTGCCTGTATTGGTGACTCAACTGAAGAGCACTTTGGAGATCAGCTGAAAGTAATATGCCCAGCTATTTTAGCAAACTTCTTAAAATGGCTGGTGAAGCCTGGTATTTAAGCCATACTAGACTGTTACAAGAAAAAAAGTCAGAATAGATTCAAAATGCATTTTTTTCTGCCTAAACTTCACCTATTTTAGTTTTTACAGAGGGACACAGATTGAAGAAGGACCAGAAGTCCCAAACATAGACACCCTCAGCTGTAAGTCAAAATACAAGTGCTATGCTTACACAGCTAATGCCAAGGCAAACTGCGGACCGTCTGTTTGCACTATGAATCACACCAAAAATCCCAACAAACAGTGATAATCACATAAAAAATACCACTTGATGAGTCCATTCTGCTTAAAAGAATCATGGCATAGGATGAAATCTGTGCAGTCTTGCAGTTGTAGGGTCAACGCTTTATCTCAACATTAACAGGAGCCACGGGCAGGCTTCCTGCTTTGACTGGAAATACTTGGCAGTTTTGGGACATCCAGATGAACTGGAATTTATTGAAGTAAGAACATGAAGTATGGAGGGAAGGGAAACTAATTTGTTTTAGAATGAAAAAAGAAAAAGCCCAACAAACCATTTCAAAACTAACTTTCTACAAAACAGGACCTGAAATGGTGTGAAAGATCCAGAACACGTGGAAGAAATACTGGAACTTGAAGCAGTCAGCAGCGCCCCGTGGCCAGTGTCCCTACCAGCACAGTTATTGAAAATGTGTGCCAGTGAGAGAGTCTGTAGTTAGATGTATTTCTACTCCTCTGTACTTCCCACTCATTTAGAAGTAAAAACTGCAGTGTCATGGTTCCAGGCAAGAATTACAAAACTGTAAGAACTTTTATTATTTATCTTAAAAAATATAACATATTTTAAACACAATGTACATACGTGAAAGCAATCACTAATCTATACGGTGTCTTCACTTTGACAGCTTTTTCTTCTTTTCCTTTGCTTTCTCTGTCTTCATTTCCTGAGTTCTGATCATTGATGACATGGCTGAAAATAGCAGCAAGAACGGATTATCTGAACACCACCTTACGTTAAAATGATTGAGGCCTCAGGTGCAGACACCTGAAGCTTTGTAATATCCTCCCGCACGCTACACTGTACTTATCAAGCCCTTACAAATGCAACTTTAGTTTGCAATTCTCTGTATGCAGGGCCTTAACAGAAAAGATAAACCTAGTTATAAACAGGCTTTTTATAAACCTCATCTGCTTTGTGAAGCCAAAGCACCAAATGCTGGAGTAGTGGCGAAATGCTGTTGCTTTCAGAATCCCTCTTATGGGATGGTGTGAAATTAATACCTTTGGTCCAACGCTCGTGGAAACAAGTTTACTTACTGTGTATATAAAAGGCTTCCCCCCCTCCTTTTATATAGTAACTCTTGATACATTACAGATCTGAATGTATCTTTTCATGTGGATATAGGAAACAGGCAAACTGAAGATAATGGATGGCAAAGAATAAAAATGAGAACACTTACCTTATACTTTATATATTTTGCTTAGTTTCACCTAAATCAGGTCACTTGTTTGTCCCTGACATGTGTGCACTGTATGACATAGGGAAATAATAATTTCCCAAATCTGTGCAGCAAGGCTTAAAGGGGCAAAGGGGAAGCAACTGGAATGTGCAATATAAAAAGTGCAGAGAAAAGAAATTCCATCCCACTTGGTGTCCTGCCACCACAAGAGTTCACCAGCATTTTACTAGTGACTTCAAAGGGAGCAAGAAGAGAACCTGAGAAGTTCTCCATTGTCACTGTGGTCATCTTGGATCTACAAAGAAGCTGAGGAGGAAAGGATATGCTTCTGAGGCCACTGCTGGGAAACAATGGTTTTGGTCTACTACTGTCAGAGTATCTTTCTGTTTCCATGAAAAGAGTCATCAGCTTGTTAAAAATTTCATTTAATTGGATGTGACAGCACACGAGGGCACCCCTGACCAGCTGCCATGTTTGAAATGTTAAGGATCTTGAAGCTTATTAGAGTTAAGGGGCTGAGCAACAGTGCATTGTGGAGTTAATCTAATTATTCTCCTAGGAGCAGGATAACATCGAAGTGGGTACTGCTTGTAAAACAGGCACATCTAAACTGACCTCAGGCAAAAAACAAAGGTAGTGCTTTGGCAGGTAACAAGAACAGTTTCTGGAGAGTGTGGGTATTTTAAATAAAATAGGAATATTTTATTTAAATAAAAAATGGCAATTCTGGTACCTTGGTTTTTTATCTGTAAGGATTCCACCAGGTTTTGTAGGCTTTCCAAATTGTTCTGCAGCCTCCTAGGTGTATTCTCACTAGCTTCCATGGGCTGAGAAGCTACTGGAAAAATTATTTGTTGATATCACAGATTAAAAAAAAAAAAGAGCTCATTATAAACTATTTAAACAATCCATCTAAAGTAAAGTTCTTAGAAAATAAAATTCCAAAGCATAAAACTTCCAGCAACAAAGAAAATGAGTAAGAAGACAAGGTCATTAAGAGAAGTTTATACTTAGCAGTATTTCTGTTGAAGTGAAAATACCACCACATTTCTATTTTGCCTATAAAGTTCCCCATTTGGAGAACGGAGAAAAAGTACTTTGTGTTATTAAAATAGTATTTATGCCCACAACTTCTCAGTCCCTCTTTGCCAGTAAAACTGCAAGGGTTGTGCAAAGGAAAGCAGTAATGTCACTCGCATTTTACAGACGGAAAACTAAGGTACAGAAACATGTAGCTTACTAAAGCCAGGACTAAACACCAGAAATCCCAAGTTTTTGAAGATCCGGATCAGTGCAGAATTCAATAGGCATTGGGCCTGTCAGACCAAGCGCTAACATCCACAGACTGACACGACCATGCCAGGACTTTATGAACAACTGCAGCCTCCCACCCTGGAGCCTCTTCTGACCAGAACTTGGACTGTTGCATTTTTGCTACAGTCATCAATTCTCAAATAAAAAGAGGCAAAAAAAAAAAAGCGCCAGAGATGGATGTAACTGGCTGACCAGACTAACAAACAAAAGGAAAAAAACAGAACACAAAAAAAGACTGCTGCCACTTATCTTTCTCTCTGAACTGAGCAATGACGGGCGTTGACTGAAGGTTACAGTTGTGATCTGCTAGACCTCCTGTGGTCTACACAGAAACAAGCTGGGGTTTATGCCCAACTGCAGAGATACCCACCCCACAAAGCCCGTGGTTTCCTAAAGCAGGCGCCATCCAGGACCGAGGCTCACTGCGGGGACGGGGTGTGCTGCTCTACAGGTACGGCCGTCTGCACGTACTCCCTCACACAGCCAATTCAGCGCTCTGGTGGGGAAACGCCCCGCACATTGCGCTCTGCTTACCAAAAGGCGCTTCTTGGTTCAGCACACATTAAAAATACAGATTAGCTGACCAATATGCACTTCATCTTTGCGCAGCCAGACGGCTCGGGGAAGCAAAATGGGCAACAATGTTAATGTTCTGCTCAGGATGACTGCTCAGCCCAGCTGTTTCGGTACCGCTCTGCATAAAGAGAAGGTCCTGATGTTTCTAAAAGTGACTGAGGAGACGTCTGAGTCAATAAAATAACAACACAACAAAGACATGCTGAAGTTAGCTTGAAATTACCAAAAAAATTCCCACTTGAGAGGCTATGGTTAGATTTTTGCCTGTACCAGAAAGAGCTAGGTGCACAGCGTCTCTGTCACACCCCTACCTGCAGTGCTCGTGTGCCCTCAAAGAGAAATGATGTTTTCAGAGCTTGCAAAATAGAGAAATGTTATGTTTTAAAATGGTATTTGCTAAGTATTATTTGAAAATTTAGCTGCTTATCTGTTTTTCACATTGTATCTACTCATTTTGGGGTCTTTCTGCCACTTAAGTGTAACAAAGCGATCCTGACAGCCTGGCTTGCTAGCAAGTAATTAATAGAGCAGTACACGTGTTCTGTGATGCAGGAAAGCTTATTTTTATCACTTAAGATCCACACAGACACAGCCTTACATTATTATTTTCAGTAAACCCCAGAACTTTTCTGAATGTGTTACAGGAACCACAACAACTATTACAAATATTAACATTAGGCGACTGTGTTGCCTGTTACTGCAAATATTGATGTTAAGCATCCCTGCGGTCTATTTACCTGAATAAAGCAATTTATCCGTTCTTAAATTTAGTAGTGTACGGAATTTATCTTCTGTTCTCTTTGTATAAAACATTAATTAGCTGCTGCATTTTACTCACAATCCATTGATCACAGAAAAAACCTTCTACTTGAACAGAACAGGGACAGGGCAAAGGCAGTCTGACTAAGCAAGAACAGGTCACTGATGTAAGTGGGGTCAGAACTGCTAAAGCAGTGCTTTAAAAAGGACCATCAGTAAATTATGTTTCATAAATGTGCATACTGCAATTGCACTTGCTGGAACCACAAAGGAAGACCCGTCCCGTGTCAGCCCTGTACCTTTGGGAATCGCTGGTGTTTGCGTTCAGCAACATGAATGGATTCTGTGAGCGACGTATTACAGAGGGACATAAAGAATAACGCAGTGTGAAGTGCAGGTACCACAATCGTTAACTGTAGAAGACTGTATCAGTGAATGATGGCGGGACACCACTGCTTTCTACAGAATCAGACGGCTGAATTTAGCCTACAGTTTGTAATTCACTCACTGTACCGGCTGGAAAGAGACCCAGCCAAGCTCTTTGGGTCAGTAAATGGGACTGGACTTACTTATCTGGGGGCCTGTGGCTGCACCCTCTGGAGAGCCAACCTTCCCTGCAGCCAGCCTGTGCTCTGGTGAGGTGCTGGGGCCAGCCGCCAGGTCATTGGGTGGAGCAGTTAACAGCAAGTGTACTGGAGACCTTGCTCTGTATCTCTCCTCCTGAGAGACCTTCTTGGGAGACGATGTATAGTGAGGAGCTGCTGAGGAGATGGATGCACCTCCTCGGAGATACAGAAGCAAAGAGCCATAAGCACACACCTGAAGAGAAGCCCGCATCCCAGCTCTGATGTTACCTCTCGTTTTAACAGTTACAGGGCTGGGTTCCCTTCACTGCCCTCTTTCATCCTTTCCATTCCTAATTAGTAGCCAAGGCAGCAGGAGACTACAATTCTCTTTTTCTTCCCATAACCAATTTCCTTACTCCTAACACCCCTCCTGTGACATCTTTAAAAAAATTTGGAGGATTTCTAACAAACTCCTCTCATTCAATTATTTCTCAAGTCTTCTATGTAAAAAAACGCTACTTGCAGCTATTTTGGAACCTAGGAAAAATCACTGGACGTTGCAGTAGGTATGTTAGAAGGCTGACAGTAACTATCCAGGAGATTTTCTTTAATATTGAGGAATACAAAAAGAGGATCCATAATAGTTAGTCCTCAGGACAAACAGAGGAGTTCTAGCTTATCTCTGAAGCACAGTGGCTTAAATACTAATAAAGAACAATTAAATGCATCAGCGTCTGCCAGCAATTTTCATAGAAAATTCACAGAAAGGATAATCTATGGGCAAGAAAACAGAAGGTGGCTAAGACCGGTATCTTCAAACCCTGATGCTCAAAGCCGTATCTTTATATCTCTGTTTAGGTTACTAAATTCACATCACCGCATTTTAAAAGGTACTGACCACCCAGTACTTGGAAGGAAATCAATGGAATTTGCAATGACCTGATTCGTCTCAAAAACACATCCATATTTAGACATCTGAATGCAGAATTCAAGAGCGTGAATTTAGGCACCAAAATTTGGCAATATGACCCACGTTAATTTCACAAGACTATCGCTATCATGAATAACTACCATGGAAGATACTCATTTTAGCTGTGCTGGTATCAACCTCCATGGAGCTGGTTTGCATAATGACACTGATTTTGCAGTAAGTGCAATAGAGACTTTGGAACAGCACCTGCTAAGAAGTATTTGAGTGAATATACCTAAGAAAATATACTGTATTTGGACTGTATTTGTTGTAATACTCTGTGATGTTCCAGTCTTACAGCACATTCATCCTCAAATGTGGCCAGTGAAAACTTACCAAGGGATGTAAAGGGCAGGGTAATGTCTTGGGACTGAAGATCAGCAGTATGTAAGCATGAAGGATCCCTGCAAGCAAAACGATGGCAAAACTTGCATTCTGGACGTATTATGCTAAGTTTCAGTAATGCTAGCGAGCCTCAACAGTGAGAATGTGAAGCTCTCATATGTCATCTCCAGATCTTATACATTTAAATTAAAAGCAAACAATGTAAATAACTTCCAGAGCTCTTTCTTAGAGGGATGAAAGTAACATCACAGCTCTGTTCTGTAATTCCCAGGAAGCTTTTAGCATTATGAATAAAACACTACAAACAAGCTCAGGACCGATGCTGTATTAAAAAAGCCTTAGAAACTGAATCTCAAATGAGTCCCTTAAGAAGCAGGTTACTCAGCTAAGTGAAAGCACTTCTCACCATCCAAAAGTATCCTTTTCCACGATGCTTTCAGTAGCGCAGTCTCTAGCTGCAATCTCCCTGCGTGGAAAAACCTATCACTGTCAACATCACAGCAAAAGCCACGCCAGCAGAATTCCTACATTTCACATGTTTAGAAAATAAGCTTGTTTTTTAAGCAGAGTGCAATAGCAGCCATATTCTAATAGTAAAGAAAAGGCATCGTAAAATTGTCACACGAGTTCACTAAAAAAGTCTATTAGAGTTGGAGTGAATTCAGACTACTGACATAACGGATATTTTAGGGAAATAAAGGACTAGATTGCTTATGAATACTGGGTAGTCATGACCATGGAAAAAAGACCATAAACTTCTGCTTCAGACACCTGATGCCACTGCAATCTTCCCTCTGGTTACTCACACAACAGTGCTTCTATTTATCTGCTTCAGACCAGCTTCCAGTTATGAGGTGATTTATGCCTGTATTTCACCCAATAGCATCAGATGACTACCGTAACACAAATTCTTGCCTTCCTCAGGTTTGGACCTATGTCTTTTCTCAGGCTTCTTAGAGTACAGTGGTATTTGATGAGAGAATGGAAATGGATCATTGATTAATTTCCATAAAACAGCTAGACTCATTTTAAGTACGAGCACTGAGACACACTTGGAAGTGTTCCAGAGAAGTAAAATCTTGAATTTAATGTTGACCTTTTGTAGAAATGCTCTATTTCCACCAGCAGCTCTAGTGTTCCATCTGTAGCTACACAACCCCCCCAGCTAAGCATGCTCAAGCATGCAAACTGCTATCTTTCTTTATCATACAAAACCTTCTTGCCTTAGGCTTTTTGGGGCAACCTCAGCTTTGGAATAAACAAAAAAAAAAAAAAAAGAAAAATCAAGTAAGATTTTATAGCAAACGGCACTTGGGACCTTATATTCTGATACGGTAACTTTGGATACAGCCCAGCTTTTAACTAAGGTACTGGGAACAAAAGAAAAAAATCCACCTGAGATTCATCTCAGTTTTCATAGGAGATAATCAACAAAATCTTAGCTCTGCTGAAGCTGCCTAGAAGCATCTTGTTCCAGCTTTCCATATACCACTTGTGTATCTTTTGGTAAAGGTCCTCTATTTAATTAATAAAGTATCTATTTAAAAGGAAATTCATTAACTCCTATGGACTTCAGCAATGCCCTGGGGATGTCATTACCACATTTCTCTTTACAGAAAATGCCAAGGCGATGAGTGCCCTCACTTGTTTAACACCAATTCTGTGACACGTAGAAACACAAGCTTTGGAGATGAAGGACATAAGCCCGGTCAATGACTCTTAGACATCACGACTTCATTGAGCTACCTCAGAATTTTGACATACAAGGAACTCCTAGTCCTTATTAGAAGATAAACAATTATTTTCTTCCCAATTTTTAAATCCATTTTGTACAACTCTCTTTATTTCTTGAAATACTGTCTGTATTGTCCTACTGTATTCACTCGATCAACACCTGTATCTGTGTTGTCTGTGACCTTTTCAGAAAGGTGCTTTCTCACCTCTTGCAAGGATCTGATCGTAAGCTGAAGACCGCAGCGCATCCTCTACTTGCACCATCTCTATGTAGAAGGATGTAGACAGACAACATCAGAACTAGCACAACCAACAGCACTGAGACAGTCAAGTACTTTGACAGACAGCTTTGTGTGTTGAGGGATGATTAGGTGTAGGATTACTCCCAACCTTATTTCAACTTTGCAAGAGAACACTGCTGCAAGGGAGAAAAATTCTCGCCCGAAAATCCACACGGTCTGAACCGTAAAAACTTGCAACCATATGTAGAAAAGAACAGTTTCTCCCACTGCCACCATAAACAGAGAATACAGGCAATAATCACGTAGTACAGGCTGGCAAAGGACACTGTTGATCATTGACTCCATCTATGATAGCCAAAGGCAAGGTAGGAAGGGGTAGTACATTAGTACTTAAAAAATCAGACAGACCAACTTCTGTGCACGAATCCTTTTTCTGGTTGTGAAACAGTAGCTCCTATATTTTAGCTGTCATAAATTTGCATGTTGATAACAGGCATAACTTTTTTTCAGTAAAAATATCTGGGAAAAGTAGAAAAACACAGAATACATAGGATATAGGGACTGATGTGATTTTGTTCCACCAGTATGTATTATGGGGGAAGCATCATGGTTTAAATAAATTTGATCCTAATCAAAGTTCAGGAATTATATTTTCCTTCATGAAGTATCCTTATGTTCTGGATTAGAAACATCAGAATCTGTGCTGTACTGATTTTTCAATTTCATTTGTTTGGTAATAAAATAATTTCCCACTTCACTAATATGAGAAGGGATATTTATGTAAGGCAGAAAAAGAAGAAAGGAGTTCTAAGTGAAAATAAAAGCAGAAACGCCAAAAAGCAAGTAATAAAGGCGAATGGTGTAGTCACCTTGTATTTCCCTACCACCTCAAGCATCTGAGGAACCTGGCAAACAACAGAAGCTTTGAAAGCTTTTAGATTATCATAAGCTTACTCGTAAACCCAACCTTCTTGCAAAAAGGCACCCTATACTGCTCCTGAAGCACGTAAATAGCCAGATCCCAGTTTTAGAGGGCACACAACAGAAATAACGGTGTATTACTCTTACGCTGTATTCCTCACGGTTGCTAAAGGCGATTTTCTCCCACCACGGCTGTCATCCTTGCCAAGATCCACAGAGGGAATGTCATTATCTGAGCTTGTTAATTCTTGAAGAATTCTCTTCAGATCCTGCAATGGTTCTTCCTGCAAAATGCCTGGCTTGGAAGGCACCTGAATTAACACAATTCCGTTACAAAGTATTTATCAAGGCACTCTCTTTTCCGATTCTTACCTATACTCATCCAAACTCACATGTTTTCCCCCCTCTACTCTGTCTTACCAGTTAGAAACAAGGTGGATTTTTTGTAATTTTAGTTAAGAAGTGTTGGAGGCTAGATCATGGTAACTTCAAGACTGTCAAAATACTCTCTGAATACACTCTTATCTGGAAAGCATGTGACAGAAATGGGTAAAGCAACTAAGTATGATGGAGGGAGAACACAGCTAACATCTGTGATTTGAATAAATGTTGTAAAAAGGCTACGACTACTGTTTCAAGGGCAAAAACATTAAAATAAGCCTTTAGTCATGAATGCTTCCCCTACCCAATACAACCATTACCTTTTTCAGTACTGAGAACCAATAATCTTTGCTTATGTGACAGCTCTGTTTTCTCCTTTTTAACCTGTGATCCCAGCTATGACTGTACAGCACATAAACACAGCTCTGAAGACAGAAATACTAGTATATCAGGGTGTTTTCTAGGCACTCATTTCTGTAACAGCTGAGCTGTCTGCAAATATAAACCACTTTATTTTCACAGCCATACTCAGATGAAGTGCAACATTATTCTCATTTTACTGATCAGGACTTGAGGCAAAGGCCTGGTTCAAAGAATGCTTCCTTTTTGTGAAGAACTGGATTTTTCAGACTACTCAGCACTTCACATGCTAGAGCAATGCTCCCACCGGCTTACGCTTCATCTGTGGACGGAACTGGCTAGAAACATTTTGCTGACACGTTTTCATTTGGGAAAAAAAAAAAAAAAAGTCATTTCCAATGGGAACACATTAGTTTCAGAAGAGCTTATACGGAAAACAAATCCACAGCTTCATAATGGGTCAATGTGATATTGAGTCAAACCAAATCCTTCTTTCCCACATTCCGGCTAAGAAACCAGGCTATCGACCAGGTAGGGTCTCTGTCTCAAGTGCTGGAGCTGCTTCACTTTGTACAATAACTAATCATGCAGGGACCAAGAAGATTCAAGCAGACCTTGAATCAAGTTCTCCTACATGCTGTTAGGTCCTCACCATGGTACTACATGAAAAATTGGTCCTTTTTCCTTCTTTATCCTCAGAAGTATAAATGGATTGACTTAAAGAAAAGAGAATGGGAGTGCCTGATGCTGCAGGGATTTCACAGAATTAACTACCCTTTGTTCCTTCATGTAAATGTTTGTCACCACATCACAAAGTAAAACAGAAAATGTTACTGAAAAGTATCTGCACTAACTTGTAGCCTCCCACAGATTTTGAGGTAAAAATTAATGAAAAGACCTCTACGAATTTCTGTGGGAGATACATCAGGTCTCTTTTGGAGAATTATACAAAATCTATACAGAAAATACCAAAAGATTTTTTTTCTCCATGAGATTTGACTTGATGTTTTCTGTAATGAAAAATTAGAAGAACATTAGCATCTAATTTAAATCTAAATGTAGATGTACAAAAACGAAAGGAAGGAAGGACAATGATGTGCCTTTTAGGATAAAATTGGTCAAAATCAGTGAAGGCCAGCTTGGAGAAAGATTTAAGTATTAAATGCTACTACAGGTCGATCAGATGATGAAATTTATCAGGAACTAAGTACAAGTCTATTTCACTGCCAAATGTGATTTACAGCGAGTAAAATACTATGGAAAAAAAAAAAAAAGTAAAAGCCAAACTGCTTACAGATCAGTCCCTGCAATTTTAATAGTTTTTAAGTGTTAATGGTGAAAGATGTAAGACAAACTCCTATGTCCATCTGCAGAATTTTTTACTGTCCGCTTGGTTTTTACATATATTTCAAAAATGGAAAAAAAAGAAAATCTGAAAGGCTGTGACGTATGAGAAGATACAGAAAATAGTTTAATCTTTGCTGTTAAGAATTCACTCTGACACTCCTACCAGATGCTCTCCCATGAGAAATTCCATGTTATTTTCACTGTTTGGAACCTCCCCGTTTCCCATGCAGCTTCCCATTCTGAGGCAGGTACTCACATGAGGGGCACAGCTGGCCAAGTTCAGGGAACGTGGCACGACAGCAGATTGCAGGTGGGAAAGAGGCACCATGCGCCGCAGCTTGCCTGAAGCAGAAGCTGCTGAGTAGCCTGGGCCCTGCAGCTCCTGTGGAAAAACATCACCCAGGCAGAATACGCAAGTATAGCTGAGCAGAATGAACAGGTACAGACAGCAGGCCCTCTAAGAGGGCACCTCTTTTAGTCAAAGCTTCTGTAAAATGCAGCGCTCAATTCTCAAAACACTTCCTAGTATTACTTAGGCGTGCTCAGACATAAGACTTTTAGCGACTGAACTGGGTGCAAGAGCAGCAGTTTCATTTATTTTCAGAACTTTAACATAGGCTCTGGAACCATTCAAGTAGAGGACATCGCGGGGCCAACACAAAATTAAACTGTCCCGCAGTTCTGTACCTTTTTTTCCACACTTGGGTGAGAATTACTTCTGTTGGAATATGAGATGCCCCACCTTGACCATTGTTCGTATGAAGTACTTTTTGTATTGCTTATGTAGATCTGTATTTTGAATATAACATTTCATTTCTCACTCAAAACTGGCACCTGGTGTGAGTCACTAAAAGTAACAATAATTTCCTATGATAGAATTACTGCTCCAAGTGTATCATTCATTTATAGCAATAGTTTCATTGCAGCCTTAACAGTCTAGGATTATAAAGAAGGCAAAGGTAAGTAACATTCTCCATTAAACTCATTAGTAAATACGGAGATTGGACTAAATCCACCGAGCAATCAAAATTCCAGGCTCTGTAACAGAGATACTGGCTTTCATTACTGCACAGTTTTCCCTATACCTTATCTTTCACTAACGCTATATAGCTCGGCAGATTTCAATTACATGTCTTCCTTTTTCTGCCCTAGATACCTCATGACCGTATTTCCTTACCCCTTGCTAATATCTCTCTTTGCTTCTTAAAAATGCTTTTTTTTGTGCTGCCTAGCTAATTAGCATAATCAAATTAAACTCAGAGCCCTTGTTTCCAGCCCGTACATAGATTTAAGGCTGCTGGTTTAATCTCAGGCCTGAAGAAGGATGTGGGTGTCCAAAAGCTTGTTAGTGCTTTCTCTCTCAGAAAACAGCTACACTAGCAAAAGGCATCCCTACAGACCCTGTCTCTCTAATTCATTTTTCATAACAATGCCATGAACATTTCTAGCTTTTATTTGCCTAGGGCAGCAAGAAAACACTGAAGTGTCACTGAAACGAAAGCTTAGCAGCTGCAGCATATGGTCCAACAGTCCTGTAGCCATTTCATCTTTTTGTTGCCCTTACCGTAAATAGCACTTCAAAGTAACTGAAATTACGGACATGACTTGTGCAGCAACGAGGCAGTCCATGTAAAACAAGGTTTCAGAGCACAAGGTTTTTACGAGTACTTTGCAATAAACAGGACACAAAGTAAATGCATCTAACTTTACACCCATGCTTCTCAGTAACGTACGTACTTTCACGTCTAAAGTATGCTGCAGCCGGAAGCGCATAGCTTCTTGTTCCTGACACTGGATTATGCACTGACATTCTGCAAACTGCATGGACGCCTGTAAGAGAGGATAGAAGAGGCACAAATCAATGTTGCTGATTTTCTGTGGATTACACGCTTTCCTGTCTTCTTTCTGATAAAAAAACCAACAAGGTACACATACATATGCTGTAGTTCCCCACTGCTATCGGTATACAAATACTGCAGAGTATGACCAGCTGCCTTTCTGGATAGGCTTACAAAAGCAACAGACCGGTTATATGATCCTAGTAGCCATAACATGTACACCATATCACAGAAGGGGCTAATCCTGTCAGGGACAGTCCTAGACCTACGCCTCTGGGATTAGAAAATTCAACTGTGCTAATGAGGCAAAATGATACTCAAGGTTTTAAAATGGATGGCTGATAACTTTGTTGACCTGTCTTTGTTGCTATATACTCTTTCTTCTTTAAACATTTACTCTGCAAATGCATGAGAAGATCTAATAATGTGGCTATTTTTCACTGAATGCTTATCAGGGTAGAAAAAAGAAGAGAAGAAGCTCTAAGCCAAATCACAAAAAGAGAGAGTTATCTTCATGAACCAGACTGCTTTTATCACTCCAGCAGAGTTCCCTCTTCGGGTTCACAATAAAACCTCTCTTTCTTTCTGTGCTTCTTCATGACTGCCACCAAGGCGTGGGCAGGCTCCCTGAGGCACTGTGGATGTAGTGTTACAGGCAGCAGCTTTTTGAACGTTTAACTCTGAATCATTAATGACGAGCAAGGTGGCCAGTTCCACTTTATGATGTTTATGCAATGGATGCTCTGCAGTGGTACATACTAGCATCCTGTCAGACAACACAGTACAACCTTTACTAATTTCTAAGAACTCTTACCCAGTGTATCATATATGCTGGTTTTCAGTGAGCACCTGCCTCCACTCTGTCCCAGCTTTGCTGTCAGTTGGCTAGTGCTGTGCACAACGATAGGTACTACAAAGACAGTTAAGTTTCCAGGGTCGAGCATTGAAAGTTAGAAATGCCATGCTCGGGAGGAAGTATCAATTACTTAATTTATCATTTTTTTAAAGTAACAAAGCATTTGAGAATGACACCTTACATGGTAGTTTACATCCTGAAAAGCTAGAATCCTGAGCAGCTGAAAGGGACGCTTCCTGGAGAGCAGCAGCTTACCTGTAGGGCACCTGGGATGTACGTGCCAGTCAGACCAAAATGTAGAACCTAGCCTTAAGAGTCAGGTATGTCAGCACCAGAAACCTCAACTAAAAAAGGCAAATGAAACAACATGATGCTCTTAAAAACTTCCCTCACCCTGAGGGACAGACCAAGGCCCCAGAAAGGGCTGAGCAAGGACAAGTGTGTTGAGTCAGTGTGTGCCAACACTCGATTCCAGTGGAGCCCCTGTTATATTGAGTAACAGTGTCTCTCACTAGAGATAGGAGTCATGCCAAGAGCCAGTGGAAGGTCTGGACAGTCAATCTGTTGCCTGGAAGGTCAATCTGCTTTAAATTCCCTGCAGATTGTATTTCCCTGAGCTAGTAAGGAGTAAATCAAGAATTCTCTTACTAAAAACAGGAGCCTTTTACCATTAAAAAACCAGCAGATAGCCTTAACTATAGGTATCTCCTCAGGTTAAGTATCTCACAGTACGTGTGAATAGGACATACTAAATACAACCTAGGTAAGAGGCCAGACATTTTCTCTTCCCAAGTAACTGTCGAGGAAACCACCCAGAAGTCTCACTGAACTGAAAGCTACCTTAAATTACCTTATCAAGGGCTGTCTCCATCTTAGGTATTTTTTCTTTCAGACGTTTGTCTTGTGATCTTAGGATCTCCAGTTCGACAACAATCTTGGTATTTTCTGCTGTAATATACCTCAATTTTTTACTTAGTTTACTATTTTCTTCTCTGAGGTGATGCTTCTCCTGAATTTAAGATGAGGACAACAAAGTACAAGTCAAAAATTTGTAACTACCTACATTACACATATTTGTTTTCTGCACATTATTTTCTCTTGGAAAGATCTGAAGCTTAGCTATTGCATCTTGCAGAAAGATGAGGTTTTGCAACAAGAAGATAGGTCTTACAAAGAAAAGTACAATTGGACTGGTCCTGACGAAACAACATCTCGGATTTTAGATCCACAGGATCCAAAGCCAGTAAAGAAGGACAGGTTATAGCTAACAGATATGAATGATCATTCAGTAAACTCCAGCTATTGGTAACTGAAAAATTTGCCACAGAAAATGCTAGAAAGACCTTATTACGCTAGAGAGATCCTGACGTAAGAGTTTACAAACAGAACTACAACGAACCATCTCAGAAAACAAAGATGGGAATCACTGTGGGTCAAATTCAGACTGATACAGAATGCATTAGTTGGTATTTTATAAAAAGAACGATATGTAAGGGCCTGATTCTCATTGAAACTGGCACTGTTCTTTCACAGAGAACAAATATAAATTAAAAGCTGTGTCTACGCAGAAGGCTAATTTATATGGTGGGGATATTCCCTGATACATGCTAGCAGGAGGCCAGGGAAGTTGCCCATGACATCAAGTAAAATTCTCTTTGGTCCTTCTTGAGCCAACTGTGCTTTTGGCCATGCATTTCTCCAAAGAAAAATTTCTCCAAATACAGTTCAATACTTTTACACGGAGCTCTTGTGACCTTAGCTGCATTTGTCATTGCCTCTTCCAAGAACTTAATCTTGCTCTGTAATGCATCTATTTGTCCTCTCTTGGCTGTGATCTGCTTCTGCATGCCCACTGCAACTTTCATGGCTGTAAAAGACAGGGTTAATTTTCAATGAACAACACTGATTATGTGCCCCGAGTTCTGACAAAAGACCTGGAAGTCAGTTATTGGCAATACAGCAGAATAAGTAAATTGAACCAGGATTCCATAGTCACTTATATTGTTTATTTATTTCACAAAATATCTGGAATATTGTTATAGCATCTATTGAGGGATCAATATTTACAAAAATACTCTTGTTAAAAAGACAAATGTGTGTGATTTTGGGGAAGTTTAATCCATAATTACCATTGCCATCAGACCTCTCCATAGTCTTTAGAGCAGTCCTGGTCTGTCCCAGTTCCACTTGGGCAGATCTCAACTGCATTTTCAGTCTGTTTGCAGTATTTTCCGTCTCCTCAATTTTATTCTGATAATTCCTCTTCAAATCTTCAAATTCCTCTGATGAGAGCAAGTAAAGATTGACATTACAGTGACAAAAAATTATCATTCTTCTAGACTAAGATTACTGATCTGTCACCTACTCTCTTTAAAGGCGTATTAGTTAGCAGACAGCTAAGGCATAAAGCATATAACATCCACTGCTAAGAAATGCACAACCAGCAGTTCACTGTCCCGCATGTCAACAAAAGCTTGTTTCAGAAACAAATGTGTCCTTTGGTTGCTCGCCAGACCAACAGTTCAGGAAAGTGATACCAATCTGAGCTCCTGCTGCTAGAACCAACTGCACATGGTGGAAGTTAAGGGTATTAGCAAGAGGCAGCATTTTGCCCTGGTCCTCCTTCTCTCCAGCCACACTTATAATCAGACTTAAGTCTGAACTGATCTAATTTCTCAAGCGTTCCCCCGCAACTCCGCTTCCCAGCTCTGTTTCCTCTTAGGTCACCCACACCACTACAAGTCAGCCAGCTGCGCGCTCAGGCTCTACCAACAGCTTGGCCCTCATTCCCCTGTGCTCATTCACTCCCGTCAGCCTCCCGCAAAGCTCATTCACCCTGATGGTGCTATGCAAACCTAAGGCAGGCCTTCCACCTAAAATCACAGCGTTTGTTTAATTCTGACAAAACTCAGAGAGTTTAGAAGTATAGCTGAGTTGTGAAGAAATAAATGTTAGCAGTGAGTACTTTATGAGTACAGGGGTGTGCAGAGAGCAAAGCATGTGAACAGGATCATCTGGCTGGCTGCAGTGCACATTTCAACAGCGGATCTCCCTGAATTTTGCTGGTTGCCTTGGGTCCAGCCCCTAATTTTATTTTTTTTTTTAAATACTATCTTGATCAGCTTCCCCACACATTAGTTGTGAAAACATCGGAGCTAGAACAAAAGCTTTTAAATAACATTGTAGCAAAACTACAACAAAACAGGAACAAAGTTCCACTGTAATATGATCATAGATGGTTAATGGGATCCACTAGTGCTCTTAAATAATGCTCAGGAAAAAGTGCTCAAGCTTCTATTCTGTGATTTACTAGATCTGCTTCTTTGGTCTCCAGTCAGGTCATTCTAAGTGTTTCTGCTCAGGGTAGTGAGAGCCTGCCATAAAGATTGTATTCCCACCGTTCTGTGCCACAATCCCAAACCATGACATAGCTCTCTGAAGCAATCTGACCATCCCATGCTGGCAGGGAACCTTCTGCTGTCCCAGCAGCCATATTTGGATTCAGCAAGTGAGCTGCTCTTTTATTTTTAACATCAGCCCAATTTAGCAGCTATCGGAGCTGAGAGTCCCTACCTGTCAGGCCAGCTAGCTCGCTCCGACTGGCTTGGAGTTCGTTCATTAGCTGGTCTTTTTCCAGTTTCATATCATTAAGTGCATGGAGCCTCTCAGTGCATGTGTTAACCAGTTTAACCTTTTCCCGTTCCAGCTCACTCAGTCTGGCCTCCATTTCATGTATTCTGGCTTCTTTCTCATCCTTTGCAATCTACTTACATAAAAAACAATAGTAACCATGTGTAACATATGTAACTATATAAAATAACCACAAAGATGCACAGACACCATCATTACCTTAAATCTCAGTTGTCAGAGAACAGTTTGGGGAAAGAAAAAGAACAGAGTAAACCAGACAAACTACTTCTGCTAATCCAGGCAAAAAGGGTACAACAGAATCTGATCTGACGGCTTTAGAGCATGTTTAACCTTACCGGGTCTGCGATATGAAAACTATTTCCATCCTCTTGTAGCAGTACCTCCATATTTACTCCTAATGCTCAACTGTCTTCTCACAGAAGAGGGTGAAATTCCCTATCTGGAGTGAATCTTTTCTGATGCTGACCTGCATAAGACTACCATAACCTGTAATTCTCGCCTGAAAAATAACCAGTTATAAACAGTGCCCTCCGTTTGGAAGTCTGAGTGCTCACTGTCTGTTGTTTCTCAGTAACACTTTGTATTTCTGGTTCTGCTACTGGTGTGGACAACTGTATCACAGAGGACAGCATGTTATATCAAGCTTTCACAAGCCTTTTGGCAACTGCTTTTCACTAGTGAATTACTCATTTTTGGTGGTAATGTGATATTATTATTCTTCTCTGCCCACTAACTCTTTTAGTGCTGTAAGGATTCAAGGTGCATTGTCTGACCTGCTTTAAAACTCCATTATTACCACATTAAGACCCAAATATAAAACCAGAAAACATTTACTGTCTTACACAGACATAAATACAGCATCATTGCACACCTTAAGTTCTTCTACTTTGAGTTTCCAGCCATTTATTTCTTTTATAAACTGAGATTTCTCAACTTCCATTGCTCCAGCAGTTCGACTGTGCTGGCCCACAATCTGGGTCATGTTATCAACTTGCTTTTGGAAAATCTCAATAATCCTTTCCTTCTCTAACACCTGCAGTTTCAGTGTTTCACACTCTGACTGCACACTGTGTAAATGGTCCTCTTCATTCTTTAGATGCTGGAGCTCCTGCATTCTGCTGCCAAGTTGTGAATGTAGCTTCTTGATTTCCTTACTGGTGACCTCAAGGGCTCTCCCTTTCTCCTGCAGACAGGCCGTCAGGTTTGACACTGTTTTCTCAGCAGTCTCCAAATCGACCTCTTTGGCTCTAAGATCTTCTTTAACTTTACGGAGTGTTTCCTTAGTTGACTCCAGCTGGACAGTCAAAGAGGAGATTCTCCCAATGCTTTCATTTTTTTCTTTAGCTGCAGCCATCTGAGTAACAGCAATATAAGGATCAACCAAGAGAAATGTTTATTTCTACCATTAGAATTTCCTGTCACATTCATGGTTTTCTATAGTTCATATTAAACACCCAAGTTTTACAGGAAAATTAGGTCAGCATGATCTGGTCTACAATGACTGTGATTCTTCTGGTTTTCTTTCCTCTTTCTCCGTTTTAATAAATGAAGTATTGATTAGAATATCGGGTTTTTTGATCACAGAAAATGAGAAATATTAAACTGATGTGAACGAAAAAAAGAATCAACCAGCAACACTAGTATAAGATTTAAAGCAGTTGAGGCTAAAGAAGCTGAAGTGTTAAAACTTGACTGACCACACTGCAACTTGGAAAAAAAAAGTATGTACATGAATAATTTATTACTGACTTTATTCCTGCAAGCAGCAATGTGCACCATCTAAAGTACAAAGTACAGTGACTCAGGAACTGCTAATAGTACAAAATACCAACAGAAGAAAAGAATGAACTTCTCGTGGAAGGATTTTAAAGGAAAAATAATGGATTGAGAAAATGTAGAGCGATGTGTGAGGTAGCACAAGCCTATGGTTTGCTAGAAAATAAAGGAATTATCTGATCTTTACTCATAAGGCAAAGTGGGTTACCTCATTACAGCTCATTTTTGAGGGGCTGAAGTCTTGAAGAAAGGGGAATGTACTACCAGTCAGTGGCTAGGAATCTACTTTGTCAGAAGCAACTCTTTCTGACACAGCAGTGCGTTCAGCTTAGGGTTGTAAACACAAACTTCATTATGGTTTCATTAAGCACCAAGTGAAGTAAGGCATTATGAAGGCCTTTAATTTACTAATTATTCTTACAGAGGTGCTCCCTACCAAAATTACTACCTTCAATAGTTTGTTTGTCACATCTGGCAGCATCAAACTTTCTGGAACTTTACAGAATGTTGTTTTGGAGATTTACAGCCAAAATCAAGTTGCTCACCAACCTGGCGCTCCGTTTGCCTGTGACATTCAGCCCTCGTTACTTTCACTGTGTTTTCCAGGTGCTGCAACTGCACATTTTTGCTGTCTAGTTCTCTCCTTAGATGGTCAATAGTGATGCCGTTGTCTGTGTTCCGATCCCAAAATCGCTTGTTCTGCTCTTTTTCTAGACGTAGTTCTATCTCTTTTTTATGAAGTTCCGCCTACAAGAAATTCAAGACATCTCCTTCCTTGAATCACATTTAGGACTTTTTTGCTCTTTCTCTTAACATTAGCAACATTCAATTACACGATCACATGTCTTAATAGGGACTACTGCATTAATCTAGCAGAAGACAGGAATATTGGCTAAACTAGTCTGACACCTCCTACATGTTTTCTTCCAACAAAGCAGGAACCCTCAACTATATATACTGCTGCTATAATTACACGGAAGCACGTAAGACCTCAACGCTGAAGTCTTTCATGTGATTTGTATCTATCCCCAAAATCAGTATAAGCTACGAAACGGAAAAAGGTTATATTGTGTCAACATCAAAGGAAAAACAATGAAGCACGACATAACATGTCAAGGGAGGCTGCCCTTGACAAACACCCATCTTTACCACTTGTAAGAACAGTTCATTGCTTGTTTCATTCCGTGCAGTCATTTGTCACAAGTTCTCCAGAGCTTAAATCTTTTCCACCTCAGACATAATCCTAATAGTACATAATTGAAATTATAAATGGTAATTTTAAATGTAAATAATACTTAAAATACTGACATACACATTTCAGAGCTACTAATTTCAAAAATACGAATTTAAAATTCAGACCAAACTGAATTATCAATAGGCACTTCTGCTAATCATAACTTTGGCTATTATAAACTATCTGCATATTGTTAAAGCTGAGGTAGAGAACTAAGTAGGAAGCTTAGAGAATGGCAGAATGAAAACATGAGCTGAAGACACAGAAACAAAAGGAATCCTAACATTAGATTCCTAACCTTCCATTATGCAATGATTATTCTGGCTCCAGTCTTCTCTATAGCTATGTACAATCTGTAGGAAAAGATTTACACTAACATATTCTTGAATAGGAGAACGCCACATAAAATGAAATAATATCAACATCTTCTTTAGAAGCACCATGACATTAACTGGGCAAACCAAGCTAACGAAACCACACAAACTAATATCCCAAAATTCAGTCAGTAAGGAATAATCTTATGTAAGAAGAAAAGCAAGGCTAATTATACTACATGAAGCCAGCTGTGATGAAACCAATCCTATGTGGCAAAGTTTTCTTATACTGTATGTTCAATTTGTGAATATTCTCAGTTATAAAGGAATGTTCAGTGCTGTTGGGAAAATCCCAGATGTCTTGCAAAGTATGTGTTGAGGGACCAAGGCTCCTTAACAGAGGGTTCTGAACTGTGAGCTTAAAGTGAAGGTGGCTTAGCATCTTTAATATGATTTGCATAAGATTCAAGGACTTGGAATTTATGACAAAGTTTATCTTAACTCTGAACGTCCTGCATTGCTAATGGAAAAGGCCTTTGGGAAACTTTCTTCAGAGCTAATTCAAATTTCTAGTAAAAAATAATCGTCAAACTTAATTATAAGGGGGTGCTACATTGCGGAAACGAGCAATGTGAAAATCTGAACACCAGAAAGGCTTCTAGAAAGCAAGATTTTATCTACTATGTGATACTATCACTTGTTTTTACCAACAATTGATGAATCTGGTCATGCAGATTTCCAGATTCTTGGCTGCGTTGATACTGTTCTGTCCGAGCTTCTGCTATCTCAGAATGAGCTAAGTGCAACTCCTTCTCAAGATCATCAACCTAGAATAAAGACAAATAGTCATTATCTTAATGTATTTTATTTTAAATAGTACATTGGATTTCCTCCCATTTTCTTCTAAGTTCTACTCAAAAGAAGTCCAAGTGTCATCTTTTGGCTCAGCAGAGTTACTCCCTACGTGTACTCAGAATTGTGTGGTCTTCTTTTAATGATTAAGCTCAATTTAATTGCAGAGTTAACTAAGGTTCCCAAGAATGAATTGGCTTCCACCCTGATCCACAGCTCTTCAAAAATTCCTTACCTACACCATAAACATTGAATGGAATGGGAAAAGATCCACTTTCACCAAAAAGTTCAAGCTCCTTGCTTAATTTGCAGTACTACTAGTTAGAAAAGTCAACGCAAATGTAAGTAAAACACAATTTATATGGAATCATTCGATGAGAAAATGCACAAAATCTCCTACAGTGCTCTTCTAACAAACACTTTAGGATCTGCAACCTATCTTTTGGCTAACACCAAAATCTGGGCATTTCCTTTCCACTTCCTTGAAAATGTTTCTTCAGCTTGTGATAAAAGCAATGATCTCTTCCCTTCCTCTTCTGCCCCCCATCCCTTCTTTCATGCATCTGACTATAAGGATGATGTAATTCTTTTCAATTAGTAATGGACCATTTATGCAGGGCTAGTCCCAAAACCTCATGCCCTTCACCAAACGGGGGCTGGGAACATGAGCATGATACGAGAGGATGTTGCCAAGAAAATTTCTGAAGATCTTACGAAGTTTTTCTTCCCCAAAATTGGATAAAATCAGTAATCTTCCCGTCCTAGTGCTCCAATGCCTCCTAGTGCTCCAATGCCTAAGCAGCAGAAGGACATTACCAGGGCCCTTTCTTCCTGTAATTGCCTGAGGTCTTTTTTTGAAAAGGGTTTCTCATCTTGTGTAGCCTTTCATCAGAAGGATAAATCTCAGTAAATCCTAGACTACTTCTCTATGAAATTCTCCTGACACAACCATTCCGTATTTCCACAGAAAATGTAGGCCTGGAGTACACCCTCTACGGAGCTCACTGACTTGTGTACTACATCAGCAACAGGGCTGTCACAGACAGGGACAGAAAGAGGTGTCCTCACACAGGCCCTCTCCTGTACAAGTTAATTTAGGGAGAATTTGGTCCCAAGCGTACATTCAGCCATATTCCCTTTGCGTTTAATGATACAGTGAAGTTCCTCAGACGCACCTAAGCCTAACAGCAGGTTTTATGTAGCTAAGGCAGGGAGGTATATTCCTTCACTGTGAATGCATTATACAAACATGTTTTGCTCCAAGCGGTAGTCACTTTCCCTGAAAGGATGCAACTTCTGGCAGTGTATGAGATGATGCACCAGCCTACAACACTTTTTAATAAAGATATTGACATAGGCATATCCAAACAGAACACTTAGGTATTTACATTTATAGCCACTACGTTAAGCAGATGGTTTTCTCATTGCTGAAACTATCTAGTATCAACAGCTTACCCTGGCTTTAGTTTTCACCTACATTTTAGTTGCTAATGTGTTTTCCTACCAGAGAAGTTGCAGAGAAATGCTTGCTGTAAACGAGAGACATACAGTTGTAAAAGCTTTATTTAGATTCTCTCTCACACCCTCCCAGGAATGAGGCCACATAGCAGCCTGAGATCAAATGACCTCCAGCTATCAACTCATCTCTCACTAAAGTCTACCGTAGCAATTCAGTGTATTACACCTCCTAGTCAAAAGCAATTTTTATTGGACCAAGTAGAATATTCTTTTACAGACATAAAACCCCAACATTTTCTGGAGTTGGTAGACTGTGAGAAATAGCCTTAAATTGATTCCCAGCTTCCAGTCTTACATCTGTTACAAGGTCAATATTATGAAAGGGAACATGCCTAAGGAATATACACTACAGTTACAGCTATATATGTAATACAACCTTATGCTGTGCACTGCACCATCTAAATCAAAAGAATTCAGGTAAATAGACCTAAGATGAAAAGCATACCCTACACTATACTCTTCCTTGAGGATGAAATACAGTAATGGAGATGAATTTACACATCTCCATAGTTCAGCCATGGTGCTGTGAAAAGTCACTTTTGGAACCAACTAACGTGAGTTTTGATACTCGTGAATCAATTGAATTGACAGAAGTGGAAACCTACAGAAATGATAAACCTCAGTGTCCTTCCTGCCCCGCTTTATAGGGCAAGACACGTACAGCACGGCGCCACAGGCGTGACCCGCACATCCCTGCCATTCCATCCTCAGACCTTTTTGGATCAGACTACCAGCTCTGCCAAACTTGATCGCACTTCTGTGCCATTCCATCCTCAGACCTTTTTGGATCAGAGACTACCAGCTCTGCCAAACTTGATCGCGCTTCTGTGACCTGAACTTTCCCTTTCCAACAGTATGTAGGAGAAGGATGCCTAAATCCTTACGACTTGCCATCCAAGCTGGATTTGGATCCATCAAGCATTTCTGCATGGGTCAGCTCCACTAATTTTTAAAGGGAGTGCAAAGCAACTCTTTTCAGGTCATTTTCTAAGGAAAACATGACATCTTTCACCAAAAGTATGAAAGAATTTAAAGATACTCAAATTGTTTATAAAACTGGAATCCAAAGCAGTGAAATAAGTGAAAGATGCAGCGGACATGATATGGAAATGAGATATGAAATGCTGCCGTTAGTGACACGATGGAGATTCTGCGGTGGGACTGTAAGAAGTTCTCTTCATTTGTCTGCAGTGATTCCCTGCTGTACTGCCTGGAAAAACGTTGGTCTTCGTGGAGAAACTTGGTTTAAAAAGTTTGTCATGACTAATGTTTTCTAATAGAATTAAGAAATGGTTTGAATACATAGGTGCTAGCCAGCCTCTCTTTTTTTTTTGCCTATATTATATTCTGCTGAGAAAAAACCTTTGGATTTCACTGAACGTTAAAGATTCTTAACTCACAAGGAGGCATCTCTGGGCACCTGAATGCTTCTCAAGTGCTGCTGGAACCTTTATGTTCTCCCATCCTTGCACTTACCAACACAAAGTTACCAAAGAATTCTTCTGAGCAGTACAACTTAAATAAGAAGCTATTCTCACTGCCTGTTTTTTGCTGATACAGTCTCCAGTTGTATGGTGAAACAACATTCCTGTCCTGCACGTGCAAGTAATGTCTGTAGTGCAGAAACATTTCATGTATTTCCAGAAGGCATCATTTATGGTATGCTCTCAACACACTGGACAAAAGTACATTTGGCAAAACTATTTCGTGCTCTGTAAGTCTTGCAAAGCTATTCTGTGTTAGAGAAAGATAACTTGTTCTTAAAAATAATACAAACAAAAAGAGTTAAGGATGATGTAATTTATTTTACTGTCCAGACAGTTTTTCTGAAGGAATCCCTTATCAAAAGACTTTCCTTATGTATCTGGAACATCTCAGATATCCATATATCCAGTTTCATTGGCACTAACGCTAACACACCAATTCATACACACCTTGTCTCCATACACCCTCCCAGCTTCTTGTAATTCAGAACGCAGCTGAGAAACCGTAGATTCCAGGTGACTAACTTGATGGGCGTGCACTGAATTTTGATTTCTTCCTTGATCTCTAAGAAAAGTTTTAGGTGGAGAAATTAGACACTGTAAGAACCATGAAAGCGTGAAACATTGTATCTTACTGCTTTGAAGTACGATTATCATTCACAATGGGATCACATCAAAATTACACCTTTCTGGTTAGATTTGCTCTGTGATAGCTATCTCACATAAAACTACATAAACTGAAATCTTGAAGCTTTTATTCCTGATGGTAACTCATTTATTCTCAAGCAAGTTCTAAGAAAGCTAAGTCTGCTTTCAAATGCAGTCTCAACTATTCTACAAGCAGAACTGAGACGCATTGAGCTATCAGCTACTCAGTCTCAACTACACAAGTCAGACATTAGTGCATACTGATATTTAAATCTCATCTTAAGTTCGCAACACTGCGTGGCATGTGCTCATTTTTCTAACTGACACACTGACTCCTGAGTCAGCAAGTGGCTGGTGAGAATTAGCATCTTTTTGTTCTTACTCAATTGTTACTACAGTCAACAGTACCAACCTAGTTATTTACCCCAAATGAAAATTACCCTTTCTTCAAAATTACCATCCATTACTATTTGTACATATATGCAAGCAGCACAACTGTTTACCTATTCTTGTTCGTGTTTCAACTGATAATGCTGCTGGAAATTAATTTTGTATCCGAATCCATCGAACATTTAGAAGGCAAAGATCATGGTGCAATTCAGCCACCTACAACTGCACTCAGCCACATCTCTCATCTTACAGACTCTTTTGCCCCTTAACTTCTGCCATGCACTTTGCAGAAACTGTTCACAACTCAGATAACAGAGATTCATCATTCCGAAATCTGGTGCCAAGAACAGAGCTGATGGCTCAAGCCAGTTTGAACTTCCACTGACTTTGCTGGCCTTACTACTCTTCTGAACCGCAGCAGTCCGAGAAGAGAACCAGCCCGAATCTCCCAATTCTCAGAGTCTCCCTAATGCATGGCTGTTTTGCCTGTCCTCTGTACAGCATGGTTTCATGGGGGTTTCTATTTTTCCCTTTTTTCTCCATTCCATTGTTTATGCAAGAACTGCTTAACTCTTTAAACGAAGACACTAAGAAACAAAGAGCGGACAGAAGAATATACTAGCAGCATAAGCTTTCTCTCAAATTAAAGCTACTCTTAACATTTTCTATACTATAACCAAGAAACATACTGAATGATCTCCATCTGGCTCTGGATACTATTTGCATAGCTGCCTGCACTGTTTGCTTGGACAGTCAGTGCTGCCACCTCCTGTTCATGCTCACTTACTAGCTGCTCAATCCTGTTTCAAAAAGAAAACACTGGTTATAATTTTAGTCTTGGCAAATAGAAACTTCTCTGCTGAAGACGTAATGCTATTTTTCAGCAGACAGAAATGTAATCATTTTGATATTCTATTGTGAATGAAATATTACATATCGAGATATTGACCCTTTTGTTTTGAACAGGTTACGGTATAATTCAGGTGGACAGCTGGGGAAATTAGGACTTCTTGAACCAGGAGCAGCTCTTAGTGAAATCAGTAAGAAAAAGCTGATGTAACCACCAAAGTGATTACTTTCAATCTTTTATTTTAATAGTGAAACTAGTGTGCCAACAAATTCTAGATGAAGTGACCAATCACACTTACAAAAATAAGGTGTACAGATTCCTCCAAACAAGTTTTTTTTTGAGGCAGTGATTAAATTGGAAAATTCTCAGCGTGGAAGAAAAAAGCAGCAGAAAGTCAAGAGCAAATAAACACCTGGAATGGAACAATTATTAAGTCCTCAAAAACATCGCTTGCTGACCCCAGCCTCTCCTCTCCCCTCAATATCATCATCATAATAAAAGAACTATCTGTGGAACATGTGAAAAAAACGGTCTACTTATGTTTTATGAATAAATAAATGAAGAACATGTACCTATTTTGATGTTGTTGAAGCAGAAGTTGGTTTTGGGTCTGTGAATCTTTTTTCAGTGACTCAAGCTCTTCCACCTGTTGTAAAAAGGTAACAATGCCAAACCCGAAAGAAATTACAGTCTAAACAGTAGTTACCAAAGTGTAATTTCCTTCCTTTTCCTTCCACCACGCACTGTGAAAACATGCACAACACAGGTAAAATTCCAGCAATAAATCCAATCTTAAATTGGGGCCAGTGCAAAAGGCTGGCATACCAGCAGCTGCCCTCTTAACTGCAAAGTAGCATTTGTACCTCTTTATGCCACAACCATTCCCTTAGGCCAGTTTACACGGGAGCTCATGGGGTTTTCAAATATATTTTCTAAAAAAAACAGAACACAGAGTGCTGGAAGGAAAAGTAGAATTTTCTTCACATACCAGGACAACCTTTTCTTTGAGGTATGACACCTCCGCATCTAAATCTCGCAGGACGTCAGCAAATGCTGTGCTCAGGCTGTGGATGTATAGGCTAGTAATATTTTCACGCTCACAGAGTTTCTTGCCTGTGCTGTCTTCATAGTCCTTTAGGATGCCACGAAGTCCCAGAAGTACTTCTTCGTGGCTGTGGACCACCTTTTTCAGATGCTCAGCTTGGCTGTCAGCCTCCCTCAGCATCTCCCCCTGCAGCTGGTTGGCAGCTTCCAGCTCTCGAATAGTATTTTTTAGCTGTATTTTTACATTCTCTTGGCTCTGGGATTCCTTTTCTCTGAATTTGGAAACCAAAGAAATAACTTAGAAAGTAGGATTCACAACATGGATTTTTATCCTGACTAATAGGTGTAATACCTATGTTGATTAACTGCTGTTTTTTACAACTACATAATAAGCCATTTTCTAAACTAAGGTGCCATAGTCTCATTCCTGATGGCAAGTTTCTCATTTAGGAGATCTGGTGTGCCTCACAAAGTCCATATGTGCAGTCTCCAAAATATATCTATCTTGGCCTTTCATACCTGGAGTCCCGAAGCGCATCTCTTTCCAACTGCACTTCCATCAGTTTGGTCTGCAAATCAGCAATGATCAGTCTTAAACTGATTTTCTGTTGCTCATGTAGCTCAGCGGTCTAAAGGAGAAAAAAAGAAACAATCAAGCTAAACCAAGCAAAATACTGAATACATAACCGAAAAAAACGAGGCTGGGAATGAAGAGTCTGCAGGGTTTTATTCTTTTTGTTTGTTTGTTTTCAAATATTTCTTTGATAACTGGCTAGTCACACTGTGCTCCAGTGAGCTGACTATGCATGGAACACGGTTACAAGGATCGTGCCAACAACGTTACTGCCCATTGCCTATCTCTGTCTGTCGAATGGCACGTGGGAATCATCCCAGCCAAGTACAGTTTACAGCAGCCAAGAGGCTGCTCAAAATAGCGCTGGCGAAACCATCCAAAGACTCAGCAGTGACAAAAACAATAAAAGCTCATCTATACTCAGGAAGCTGACCCAAATTTGCAACTCACTTCATTCAGCCTCTTCCGCACATCTCCACCTTTCTGGGAGTATTCTTCCACAATGTTTTCCACGCGTTCTTTGCCAGCACCATGCATGGTTTTTTCCTCAGGATCAGTACGTATTTCACATTTGGAACAGAAGACACTATTGGCTGGACTGCTACCAGTACGAGAAGATGTGGAGTTTTCCATCACTGTGCTGAGAATGGAAGAAGCTAAAACATTCTGGTTGCTGAGAAATGGGCTAGCAGCACCTGAAAGGCAGATAAATTTAGGTGTTGAAACAAGAGTCGTTACATGAGAATAAACCATCACCTGTACAAAGTGGGCATTAGCGTCCTTCACTGCCCATCTATCAACAGTCAAACCTAGGCATCATCTTTTCTAAGGACAACAAACCCAGCTGATTCTAGGGTTGCACACTGGGTGGGGAATGCCAGTGTTCAGAGGAGGACACTTTAAAACTGCTCTCTGCCTTTAGCTTGGGCTTGTATCAACAAGAGCTGCTCAAGATGCAAGGCCTAAAGAGGATTCAACTTGAAATATGAAACATGAACTTACGAGCACCCTTCTAAATCACATAACAGTCTGCAATGTTTAAAGTGATTTACTCCCAGATCTTGTTCTTTAGTCTGTTTAACGCTTGCCCACGCTAGGCATACTGCCACTTGGTAAAGATGCCTCATGAGTCAAAGAATGTAGCATGGATTCCACTGGCAATCTGGTGGTTTCTTCGGGAAGTTTCAGAGCCTCTTTTGTTTGTCTTTCCAGTGCCTCCCTGCAGAATAGCACACAGGAACACTTGCTGAAAAGGCAGGACTGAATACAGAAGAGTATCCAACTGCACTGCATCACAAATACAACCTGAAATGAAGAACCAAAGAGAGAAGTGAAACCAAAGAATTGATTTGGTAACACTGTTGTATTTTCCCAGTTTGCAATTATATTTGGCAACACAGAGCCACATCTTCAACTGCTGCAACTCCACTGTAGTCAACTGAAATATCGTGTCTTGCCACTAGCAGGTGTAACGTATAAAAGTCCAAACAAGTAAAACAACACTTCGTCAAACAAACAGAACTAAATTGGTTTGTCTTCTGAAAAGGGATTTCCTTTAATTTCCACATTTTTTCTCCTAACTGGCCAGTAAAATACTACCTTACTGACACAAAACCGTAACTGTATGGTCGTTCAAACCCAGAGAAATCTGTCAAATACTTCATTTGCAGGGATAATAAGAAACATTTCAGAAAACTTGTAGAATCAGAGAAGTGTTTGGTTACAGAAAAACTCGAGCACAGAACAAAGGAAACCTGTGCCAAGGTTTTATCTTATTTTATTGGAATTGATCAGGCAGCAGATCATTCGCTACATTCCTGAGGGGGGGTGGGGGTGGGGGAGGAATGTGTGTGTGCAAAGAAAGTAGACAGGTAAGATAAAAAACAAAAAGGCAAAATGAATTTTGCTGACCAAAAGAGAAAAAAATCCAGTCTAAGGAAGAGTAATGGGCAAGTTTTGGCAGTTCACCTGTAAGTTGTAAATACGAGAAAGCTAAGGGGAAACATGAAATAATAGTTGTGGGACAAAAGAAATCTGAAATTATGGAAAAATAATTCAAGTGGCAAGTCCACAGGTGAGGGAGGAATATGAGCTCAACAAGGAGCACAGCTCTCTGTCATTTAGCATCAGCACTGTTGTGTACACAGCAGGACTGTAACTATTACAGCATGCACAGTTTATTTCTGTCCACACAGCACTTTTTTTTTCACTATGCAACAAGTCCCCATGTCAGTGCACTGCACTTGTTATGCCACCTCTCTGTATTTGTATTAACGCTTCCTGATAAACCTGGATTTTCATTCTGTAACACTACTGATAAGAAAGATTAGAGGACACAGATGTAAGCAGAACTGCAGAGCACGGGGAAAAGCATCCTGAACAGTCTGTTACCCTGAAAGTGAGAAGAAGGGGCATGAGCTACAGGCAAGGGTGGAGGTTCTACTGACACCGCCCTGTTATTGTGGAGTAGATCCTAAACACATAAACAGGTTAAAAGAATGACTATGCAAATCCCCAGGACTAGTAAATTTGACAGTTGGGACACACATTCAGATTCACCAAGTCTTTACATTCTAATTCCCTGGACATTGAGATACACTAGGCAAAAATACCACTTTTTCCTGACCATTTTTCTATGCATCTGCCATTACACACTGTTGCAATAAGCACAGGGGTGAGATGACACTTCAGTTCAATCCATCAGAGTCTGAGTGAACCAGTGAATCAAAGCTTTAGAAAGCAAAATACCATCCCCATTCTTCTCAGTTGCTCATTAATTTTCAAATTCATCAATGATCCTTCTTTGGGAGAAACTTTCATATATTAGAAACACAACTGTATATAAAAATCACTAAGTCCAAGCACCACCTTCTGGGAAAAAGAAAAATCACCCAAAACCATAATATCACTGAATTTCACAACTACCAGCTTTCCAATGCTGAATGATTCAGAACCTAATAGTAGGCAGAATCCTGGACCCCTGCAAACTCATTATCAAAGGGCAGGACTATGTCCTGCTACTTCTGCAGAAATCCCACTGCCGGCAGGAAGAACTCATTCCACCATGGACAGAAATTAAATCTATCATCCTGGCACACAAAGATCAGTGTAATTAATCCTTTACTGTGGAGGGCCTTGGGCACCTATATCCTTAAATTTTGTGTTCACATCCTTCCTGGCACATTATTGTAACAAACTACACTTTAGGAATCTGTTGGCCTCCATTTTCAGTGAGTGGGCTGTTTATTGCAAAGACAGATAGCAGGTACAGGAATTTCTCTGGTAACAAACAAAACCTGTGCACTGCCTTAATTCCTGGATATTCTCGCTCATTGTAACAGCGCCTGTGAAGAAAAAGATGTGCCTTTATTTTCTAATATATTAAGAATCAACTTTATGTAATAAAAATTAATTTTGCCCATCTAATTTTAATATTGCAGAAGGAATTGAAGGATATTGAAGTAGCTAATTTCTCTCATTTTTTAAGCCTTTTGTTTTGTCAGGATGAACAGATGCAGGCTTTTATAAGTACTTGTTAGCATTGCCTGTTAAAAGTTTTGCAATGACAATTAAGTGGCAAATCACATACACTATTACTTTCCTATGATGTTTCCAGATACAGAATTTTTCTACGAAAACCACTGAAGATGAGATTTCTATATAAATGTCCACCTTGATCTCATCTGCAAATGTTGTCTACCCCAACCTACTTGATTAAAGCCAAATGGACTTTTTCCTCACAAAAGTGCTTTTGGAGGTACACCCAAAAGAAAAGGAAACCTGAAGTTGGAGGCAAGCCCATGGTGGGCAAGTCTAGACGTGTATGTCTTTTCAGAGAGTGATAGCTATCAATAGCCCTCAGGGGACAAGTCTGCAAACCTTTTCCTCGGTGGGGGTGAAGGAAAAATGAAGGCAGATTTATTATTCGGGTAGCTTTGTGCTGGATGGTACTTGATGGGGTTTTATTTGCGTTATTCAGATTTTCCTGGGTGACCGGTCCTCTGGAAGACATGGGACTACACTGTAAGTCAAGCGGTAGCTGCAATAGAAGTTTCTATACCATGGATCATTTGGCACTTTCCATATACCCATCTGACTGGAAAAGATCACCGTGGGCGCTTCCTAAGGGCACGAAATGGAGAAACAGGGAGCCCTTTATCCTGGACTGCAATCCCAAGTACCAGAAATGCTTCCCTAACATGAAAACATCGCCTCCAACCCTCACATTGCAGCCCTAGAAATCTCAACTGCTCCACGACGACAGGACCATTTTTCTTCAACCAGGACAGACCTTCCCACTCGCGTTTTCCGTGTGGCAAAGGATGACGAGGACGGCGACGGGGGCGGCCTTCGGACCTCGCCGGCGGCAACAGAGGCGACGGCCCCAATGAGCGGCCACAAAATGTCCGCCGGATGCGGCCACCTCCTTTCCGGTGGCGGGAAACGAGGGAGCGCCTGAGCGCACCCACACGCCTCTCCCGCCGGCGCAGGTCTGTCCCGAAGTCTCTCTAGCCTCTATAAACCCTCTGCGTCCCCGCGCCCAGCCACTGCTAACTCCCCAGAGGGGCAGCTCCCTCAAGGGGAGGAGAACAGTCTCGCCTCTTTTCCAGCCTTCTCCCGGGAAAGAGCCATCCCGCGGCTGCGACCCTATCGCTGGGAGCCACCAGCTTCATCCCAGCGTAGCCGCGGGAAAGCTGG